TCTACAAACTTTTAGACCTCCCCTTGTACATATTCGCACAGTTGTAGGTACTTTCTGATCTTCCAGCACCACCGTTTTCTTCTTTAATTCTCCATTTTCAAGGACCAGTAAATAAACATGTAGCCTTTACTGGAGCTGTTTAATTTTTGATAATGAATTTATGTCACTACAGGACTGAAACTAATATTTAATTCCTGCTAAAGCTGTGGATTATTTTATGGTTTCATCTCTGAAGTGTCACAAAATCATCATATCTCTAATATTTAAGAATGATGATGGCATAAGTCACACAGCAGCTTAATTTTGGCTTTTTAAAAATGTTATCTGCTGTAAACCTTATTTCAGTCCTGACTGTAGGACCAGAAATATGTCTGAATAAAACATCTAAATCAACTTTTTCTCATGTGTGGGGACAAAATATGAAATTCTCAAAATTCAGGAACAATTGTGACTGATCAGAACTTTATTTTTGGCCCAACTCAACTCACATCTGAAGCCTGAACAGAACCAGACGGTCTGAAGTGACACAGACTGATACCTACACATTTATTACTCCACCTTCTCTCCTGAGCCTCATGCCCAGCTGTTATTCTCGCAGATCGGACTCACCTTCTTGGGTTTGGGCAGAATCCCGCCGGAGGACGTGGACACGGCGGACCGACCCAGCGCCCTGCCCGCGGGGCTCAGCGCCGAGGAGCGGCCGCGCGTCAGGACCGAGAGCCGGGCGAGGCGAGCGAGGAGAGCCGGCGCCATGTTCACAGTCCGGTGCAGCAGCAGCAGCAGCAGCAATGCGGAAAACGGAGGTAACATGAGCTGAGAGGAGCTGCAGCGCCACCGTGTGCTGCTACAGGGACTGTGTTTGTTTGTTTGTTTGTTTGTTGGTGAAATAAACACCAGGAGACACGTTGCAGTTTTTCTCTTTTCTCTCTTTGCCATATGTGAAGCTTACATGAACCTCCAGCAGCCACATAGTCTGAGAAGACAACCAGGAGGTGATCAGATGCAGGTAAACTCCAAATCATTGGTGCCAGTTTTTTAAAAGTTTAATTTATAGTGAATTTGTGGTTTCTTCTGGTCTTTGAGTCATTTTTGTTTCTACCTTTTTTACTAAACACATCCTGTCCATTCATGCTTGTTCTCAGTAATCAGGACTTTATCGGCACCACATCAGTCCAACGGTTCTCCACTTTTGTTCCACTCCTCGTTTATTTTAATTCATTGATTTGAGGTTAAAAAGCTCCACAGATTCTCGATGGATCACCATTTCCTCACCACTTTGGCTGCATGTTTCGGATCATTAATCATCATCCATCCATCATCTCTACACTTCAATCCTCATCCTTCACCTGGACAGGTAACCAGTCTATCACAGGGCTACACTTAGAGACAGACAACCAAGCACACTCACATTCACACCTACGGACAATTTACAATCACCAATTAACCTCAGCATGTTTCTGGACTGTGGGAGGAAGCCGGAGAACCCGGAGAGAACCCACGCTGCACGGGGAGAACATGGAGACTCCACGCAGGAAGATCCCGGGTGTCCTCACCGGGATGCCAATCGGCAACTTTCTAGCTGCGAGGCGACGATGCTAACCACTGAGCCACTTGCAGCCCATCATCAAATATCTGATGACCTTTCGTTCTCTGTCCAGGTGAGCTCTGAGCGTCCTCCTTCACAGTCTCTGGTTCATCAGCATGGATTCTTCTTTCATTCTGCACAGGTCACTTTTGGCTTCTTTGAGATGTATAAATGTGGCCGTCCTTGTACTTGTTGATGCTAATGGTGACGATTTCAGAGCCAATGAATAAACTTCGGTATCATTAAATCTCTCTCTCTGTCTTTGTTTACGTCGTTTCCAGCCAGAACTCGACTGACGTGGTGCGAATAAAGGCTGATTCCAGGTAAAAGCTTATGGATCATCTTGGAATTGGCCTTTAGTTGTAAAACTAAAACAAAAATAAAACACCATAGAAATAGTTAAAATGTGTATTTACGTGCCGACACAAAGACCAGAAAAAAAATTCCTATAAATCAAACTTTGGCACGGGGTATGAATAATTCTGGACTGTACATAAAAACATCCGTCAAGGTTTTAAACAATAAATACTGTACAGCATTAAATATTTACAGCCTCCCTGTATTCTACACGACTCGGTGATGCTATGGTACTATGAGTGGTTCTGGGGGGGATGCATGTGACCACAGGAATATACTGGCCTTGGAAGTGTTACGAGAGCGATCCGTAAAATGCATTTACACGTTCTTTCGTCGCCGTCTCCAATAACATCGTTGTAAACATTCAGTTCGACATCACAGACTTCCTAAATGCGAGTTAAATAATTTAAATAAGCATTTTCATGATACAAACATATTAGAAACCAAAAGCAATAAAAAAAATCTCTCTCTCTCTCTGTCAGAAATAAAATTCTACCTAACGAGATGTAAACAGCTTCAAATGGATTCAAGTGCAGAACCGTCCACCACGTCGGCCCCTTTCATCCGAACACGGTCCCGGAAGTCGTTGGGTCGGTTCATCACTAAACAAAAGGCAGAAACAGGCAGAAGAGGTTCATCACTGAGTGGAACCATACGTCTTAAACCAATGTCCTGCTTCGTTCTTCTTCTCTCACCTGACGTTTGAAGGTCAGACGCCTGAAGAACTTGTTGATCTCGAAGGCGCCAGGTTTGACGGGTGCCCCGGTCTTGCCGGGTTCCCCGAGCCTGACGATCTGTCCCTTGGTGATGGCGGCTCTGAGGCTCATGGTCTTGACCACGCGAGCGCCGGGCTCCGAGTCAGGTGTGGGCCGGGAGGACACGGTGACGTAGGAGGCGTCTTTCTGATGCTCCTGGTAGCTCACTGTCGGACCACACGGAGGAAGAACATTTTCATTACATGAACACATGCATTTCTCTCATCTGGACGTTCACGGGTTAAAGGGATTATTTACAAAAAAAAAATTTAATACGTTGCATCAACCTCAAAACCTGTTGGCATGTTTTTGTTTTTAACCCGTATGTACGGTTTTGGGTTAAATTTGCCTCGTTTTGACATTTGACAGCAGTAAAAACATCATAAATGACTGTTATAAAATAACATGAGTGAAATATTTTAAAATTTTATACAAATGTTTGTACACTGAGGCTGGTTAGTATCCACTAAGATGGATTTTAGATCTACCAATGTGAGTCAAATGAAGGAACATGGTGGTTTGAGGGAAGCTTGAAACGGTGAAACTGTACAGGACATGTTTTATGTGTGCTTTTATTCACATTCATTAATGTGAATAAAAACTATTTGGGAATTCTAAACAGATCTGTAGTTTAAAATCTGGTGTCGACACTTCCTACGAGGGAGTTCTTGACCGGTCACAGTATGTGAAGGCGTAAAATCTGAACAGTATGTAAGGGTAAAGTGGTCATCACCAAAAAAAGATTTTCGACTGTCCAACAATCTTTGACTACATCAAGTGTGGTTTAATCCCCCAAAAATGACAACACCTAAGCTTAAAATAGTGATATTGCTTCCATACCCCTTAATTCTACATGTTTTAATTTTTTAAAAAGTCCCCAAAAAGAAGAGCAGAGTTCAAACAGCTTTTCAGATTAACTGTGTTTCTACATAGCGGGAGAGCAGACGACAAGAAAGATCGATAGCCAAACAAAACAAACTTGATCAATAAAATAAATGCAGCACGGCTCAAAAACGCTATGCAGAGGAGCGAGTTGTTGGATTCAACACGGTGAAGCGTCTTTCTAGTGTTCCTGTGAAAAAGTAGAGGCTGTAAAAAATCACCTGTAGGATGTGGAGCCACTAGTTTTTCTGATATGTTTCTGGTAACACCTACGCTGTATTTGTTGATTACAGGTTTTTACATTTTGGTTAAAATAAAGAACCAAAGACGTGTTTTCTTCTCGTTTTCAACGCTTGTTTTCCTGGTTGTGATGGCGTTTATATCGCACTGAAAATGAGCCCACACTGAGCTAAACGTGACCGGAGCAAACTCAGATGTTGTTGCAGCGACGGGACGTTTTAAACTGTTACCTGCAGACGTGACCGTCGTGTCCGTGGTGCTGGTCAGCTCCAGCAGGATTAAGGGATACGCAGGATGCAGCAGGAACAGCTTCCTGATGAGCGGCTCTGCTGCAGCAACGCCTTGCGCCACCTACACAGTTGAGTGCACAGGGTCTCATCGACGGCTCGTGTGACATAAACTCCACTTGCACAGAGTTTGTTCTTTCTGTTTTAAACACTGTTTGCATTCCTGCAGCAGATCTGCCTTGATGATCTCTAAGGGAAGACTCACCGTTGTCTTGGTAACATTTCTCTGCGCTTTGATTGGCTCGCTGGCCCAGAACAGGAATGCCGATTGGCCGGTCGAGGTGGAGATTGCAGACGTTTCCAAAACGAGACGAGGACACACGAACTCTGACGTCCAGAGAACGTCCTTATTCGCTCCGTCGACAATCTGCGTCTGAGAGGAGAGTAAAACATGTCTACATCACATAAGGTCTACATCACATAATAACACTAATCAGGGGGTTTGTAGCGGCGTGAATTAATTCTATCCTTGAAAAAAAACAAAAAGTACGAGAGGAGTGTGGTTTACCTTCATGACACCGTTTGCTGAGTGCTGAATGAACAGATCGAGGATTCCGTCGTCATTGAAGTGACCCAGGGACGGCTGACTGTGTCACAGAGAGAACTCATTTAGAGAAACTCTTACGTTGTTTTCAGCTGTGCAGGAAGTTTCAGCAGTGAGAGGATGTACAACACCACGGAGCCACGCAGGGCCGCTACCTGTGGATGGGAGCCGAGTTGAAGGTCCACTCCTTGCGTAGGTCCCTCTGTCTGAGCACCGACAGCTTGCTGAATCCGTACACCAGCACCCAGTCGCTTCTGCTGGAGTTCAGGTTGGACACCGTGTCCAGGCTGTTGCGGTTGTTGCCGAAGCCGGGTACAAGAGGGAGGAGGAACTCCACACGCTCGGATCCTCTGAAACGGACGAGACTTATTTTAGTCAGAAACAACCGACTGAAATTTTCTTTTACTCTTGTGTGTTCATTTGCAGTTTGATGTCTTGAGATTAGTGTAGACTGCTTTTTAAGGAGCTGATATTATACACATGGCAGGTTTATAATATTATTTTTGTGGGTCTACGATGTCAAAAACACAACATTTTTCTTGTACTGTACATCGATGCAGAACCTCTGTTTGCATTTTAGCTCCGGTTTCTTGAAGGATCATCTACTGAAAGTCTGCTCTGATTGGTCAGATGAAAGCAAACATGCATCCCAGTCCGGTTTGATGTGTTTGTGTTCCAAAGTGCATTCTCTCTCTGCAGCTGCCCTCGACACATCAGGGCAGACTTATCTTATTTTAGCATGTATTGGAATGTCTGTGAAGATTCTCAGTCATCCAGGTCGTGGTTCTTCTGGTAGATTAATCGTAGCAACTGCTTCACTTCCTTGAAGACGTTCCACCTCTCATCCAAGAGGCTTCATCAGGTCTGACTGACTAGTTGGGAGTTCCACATACTTCTATCCTTAAGGAGACATTAACACCTGAGTTTCAATTGGGGGTTTGTTGCTCCTCCCCCCTCGTTATGTGAGTCGTTGGTGCTCCCCCTGACATGGTGGGTTCGTTAGGGTCTTTTGTGGCTATGTGTGGATGTGGTTTCATCTTCCTTACTAGTCAGTCAGACCTGATGAAGCCTCTTGGGTGAGAGGTGGAACGTCTTCAAGCAAGTCCAGTTCCTACGATTAATCCACGAGAACATGTACTGGAAGGAACACTTGAATAGCAGCAGTGAGGTAAAGAGACTGTGTTCTAGCAAAAGGGCTCCAGAAAGGAAATGATTGTGAGGAAGCTGCTGATTCTGGGTTTTAAGTAGCCGCTAGCTGGACGTTATGCAGATGTGTTACACGGTGATGGCCTACAGGTAATGGATGGACAGTTGGACATCTTCTCTTTAAGAAGTGCCTCATCATCAGCGGCGGTACCGCCTTCATAGCAGCTGATTACAGGTTTGGCGTTCACCAGACAAACGAGGCTCAGTGCAGATGTAATCAGAGCTGCGTGCCAGTCGCTGAGGCGTACCTGTAAATGTGAATGAAGGAGGACAAATTGGTTTTCTTGAGTCCCTCCCAGGCCGGGTCCTTCTTTCTCAGCGCCTGCGTTACGTTCGTTTTGCCGGTGGCGCGTACGTAGATGTCTCGCAGAGAGATGGCCTCCACGTTACCTGAGGGAACACAAGCCCGTTAGTCAATGAACCAGCCGCCTGCCGCGCCGTTCTCGTGTTTTCACATTTCTCCCTCACCCAGTCCAAACAGGATGTAGTAGGCTCCTTGTTGCGTCTCGTGCAGCAGAGGACCGATCAGCCTTCCTTGTCCGGTGAGGTTAAAAGGCACCGGGTCTCCGAGCTTGGCACCGGTCCGTCCAGAGATCAACCTCAGGGAGAGATCCAAAGCCTGGAAAAAGAGGCCTGGAAGCTCATCATCACTTCACTGATACGCTACAGGGTCACAAGTACCGACGTGATCTACTGACATTATGAATCTATTCAAATGAGCAGACATTATAAATCCAGTGCAGTTGTGTCGCACTTAAAGTTCGACGTAAAATGTCTCAAAGAGCAAAGCGGCGGCCGACGCACCTCATCTGCAGGCAGGGTGGCAACGAGCAGGTCGGGAACCGAGTCGCCCTGGAGGTCCGGAAGCAGCACCGCCTGGGATTCGATGTTCTTCAGCGTGACCGACCACAGCTCCTTCCCTGGGGAGTGAAAGGAGGCTCCTTTGACCTCGATGCTTTGAATGCTCACAGCTGAGTGACCTCATTCACCAGAACAGTTGATCCCGTCGACTTATTTCTCCCAACAGTGCCAGAACTTGATCTTAAATATCTGCTTTTTCTTTTTTTTGTAACCCTTACATACTGTGACCTGTTTCGACATTTGACAGCAGTAAAAATACCCTAAACATCATTCTTTTAGCCTGAAATTTGATGGCTTTGACTAAAGTGACCCAAAATACACAAGAAATATTTTAAAATGTTATACTTTTGGACAGGTGCGACAAATTTCTGTCTTTATTGAGGCTGTTTGGAGTCAAATTTGACCCGTATATCCACTGAGAGTGGGTCAAGTCAAGGAAAATAGTGGTTTTAGGGAATCTTGAAACTGTGAAACTGTATTTTTTATTTACATTCTAAACAGATCTGTAGTTTCAAGTGTGGCACAGACACTTACTATGACATAAAACATAAACAGCATGTAAGGGTTAATATGATCAGAACCAGATTATAACGTGTGTGGCCCAAAGATAAAACAGTTTTGCAGAAGCCGGTGACAGTTTAATAACTGCACTCTGAGAGGCGTGAACATCTCGTCTAACCTGTGGTGCCGTTCACAGCCATGAGGATGGACTTGCTGATGAGGAGGCACACGGCCGACGGCTGGCTGCTGAACTGCAGACCACACTGGATGTACATCACAGACTCCTGCATGAACTTCCTCCACAGCACCTGGCCGCCGGCGGCAGACACGGCCACCGCGCTGAAAACTGGGATGAAGAGCAAAGCAGGAAAACGTACAGCATGTGTAAATAGCAAATAGGTTGAAGAGGAAGAAAGGGTTCTTTTTTCTCTCATGTGGTTCAGAAGCTACAAGCACATTCATCTCACAGAGTAAATTTATACAACAGAGTCTCTAAAGTTTTCAACCTCAGCCTGCATTCTGACCAAATGGCATCACATCTGGACCCGGCCCACCCCTCATCACTCTGATCACTGCATCGGCTCTGTGTTAAATAGAGACTTGTGGGATCAAAATATGTCAGAGATATGTTTGCTGCAGCCTGGAAGGTGCAGAAACAGGAGCCTAGAGTTCAGACCAAACTAGCTGAAATGGAGTCACGATGCTGAGACTATGTGCTGCTTTTAATTTAGAGGTGAGCTAAAAAAAATCTGAGTAACATGTAAGTATGTATGGATCAGCATTCGTCGGCCATGCCCTTCAGGATTCCCCACATACTTTTGTTCCCCTGTGCGCCGTGGGTGTCGTTGGTCCACCCGGTAACACCCAGAAACACATCCTCCACCGAATCCCCGTCCACGTCCCACAGAGCCAGGGCGGGCGGAGTGACACCTGAACAGCAGGAACAAAAAAAATACTAAATGAGCAGCTGCAGAAGCTTCAACAACCATCGAGCTACATTTGTAACTGCAGGAAGAAAAAAAAGGGAAGAATCATAGAAAGCAAGTTGTCCGTGTGCATATAAAATACAACTCCTTCAGTGAAGACCCGTTAGCGTATGATATCAACATGCTATGTGTCCAGACGGAGCGTCTGGTTGCTGCAATTATGGTCAGAATCCTGCATAATCACAGGTGGGTAATTAAAGGGTGAGCCGTCATCGTCTCTCCACCCTCCAAGACTCCTGAGTCAGCCTTTAAAACGTGAGGTCATCACCGGTGCCTCGACTCACCTCACGTACCTACAAACTGGGAAAGTTCTGCAAAGTTCTAGTCATGTTTGCAGCAGTTTTTTCTTTTCTTGGTTCCTGGAACATCCTCCTTAAGACAGCTGTCTAAATAACTTCCTCAACATCCTCAGAATACGGCAGACAAACTGATCCGCCTTCGTTCTCATATCACATTACAGGAACGTTTACAAAAAAAAACAGTCTGTCATCTGATGCTTCAATAACATTAGAGTTGTACAGAGTAATCGGCCCCGTCTGTGTGTGTGTGTGTCTGTGAACAGTCTCTAGCTTTAGTGCTAAGCTCTAACAGGTTGATATTTTACAGGTGAGCTGGGAATGGCGTCTCCTCGGACTGATTCGATTTTGGGGTCAATCGGTGCAAAAACAGCCACGTTTTCTAAAATGCTGTAAACCTTCAAAAGGGTGGAAGGTAGAGTTATGGTGTTGGGTGGAGATAAGGAACCATGTTGGGGCTTTCTGTTGGTGACGTTACATTTGGGTCAGGTCATCAGGTCATAACTTTTGACTGCACTGCAACTTGAAAACAAGACTGACGCAGTGTTTGTATCGGAAACCACACACAGGCTTCCTGCTGGGGGCGTGACGTGGTTCAAACTCAAGTTTTTGATATCGCCATTATGTTTTAAATAACATCTAATCTATACGGGCTGCAAGGTGGAAGCTAGAAGGTCGCGTCCCGGTGAGGACACCCGGGATCTTCCTGCGTGGAGTCTCCATGTTCTCCCCGTGCAGCGTGGGTTCTCTCCGGGTTCTCCGGCTTCCTCCCACAGTCCAGAAACACGCTGAGGTTAATTGGTGATTGTAAATTGTCCGTAGGTGTGAATGTGAGTGTGCTTGGTTGTCTGTCTCTAAGTGTAGCCCTGTGATAGACTGGTTACCTGTCCAGGTGAACCTGCCTTCACCCTGAGTCAGCTGGGATAGACTCCAGCCCCCCATGACCCTAGTGAGGATTAAGGTGTAGAGATAATGGATGGATGTAATGTATACACCTTGGACAACCAGCCAACCACGATTAGTGACAGAAAACCCTATTTTGTGGTAAGTTGGATGGAGCAGTGGTTTATGGGGCGACTACATCCGTCTCCTGACAGCGCTCCAGTCTTGTAATATTGTTAGACTCTGTCATGTTGTAGTGAGAACATTCTGGTGAGCCTTTACTGGGCAATTTCCATCTTTTACTTTAACCCTCAGTGACTACTAGAGAATGAAAACGCTGCCTTCACCTCCTGCGTCTCCCAGCGCTCTCTCCCACTGCGGCGTCTTCTCCAGGTCGCCCTTCTGGCAGGGAATCAGGAAGGCGCACAGCAGCACCAGCAGCATGGCGCACACCAGCGGCACCAGGAAGAACGCACTCCGGACCGCGTTCTTCACCCTCATCCTCTTCTCCTCCGCCTCGGCGCTGTGGACCCCGAGCCCGGCGCCCCCCAGCGCCCCCGACCCCCGCCTGTCCTCCCCCATCCTCTCCCTGGCCGAGTCCCCGTGGCTCCAGTACTGCACGCCCTTCATGTCGCCCTTGTCCTGCCGGGACTTGCTGGGGAGATGCTCCCTCCACTCGTCCTCCTCTTCCTCCTCCTCGTCCTCCTGCGCCTCGTCCGGGGCTCCCACCAGCCGTCCGGATCTGCCGCCGCGCAGCTTGGAGGAGCCCGAGCCCAGGCAGCCGTCCCTGCCCAGGCCGTTCCGGGGGTAGTTGAGGACCAGGTCATCCTCCTCGCTCTCGTCCTCGCTGTCTGCTTGGGTGAGGGGGTCGTACTCGCCGAGCTCAGAGCCCTTCTTCCCTGCAGGGACACGGAGGAAGACGAAGAGGATCAGCTGTCCTGCATGGTTACTCTTATAACTTAACTATAACCCCTCACAACAGGAATGTTTAACCCTGTATAGGTCATACATGAGCTTCTGAGGCCTTTTTTTCATGAAAATCAACACATGCAGCACACAGATAATCCACCATAGATCGGAATTCATGCAGCAAAAATGGCAGATGGAGCAAAAATGATATAAATTAAACCTCATACATGCAATTTTAAAAAAAAATTGGTCAGAAGGTTCAATAAACACTCCAGTTTAAAAAAAAATGTGAATTTTCTGGCAATTATTTTACATTTCAGGCTTTACAGGGATAATATAGTTTTTGTTTGTTTGTTTGTTTGTTTGTTTACTCTGTAGATGTTGTAAATTCTACTCTATTCTTAAAAAGAAAAAAAGCAGAATTCCATCTTAGGGATCAATAAAATATTATTTTCTATCCTAAAATAATGCATTTTATCCAACACAATCCCTTTTTTTTTTTACCCATAAAGCAACCACACATAGAGTAGTTGTCATGATGTAATCATTCTAAGAGTTTCATGTATGTTAGTTTGATTTATAAAAAATAATCAGTCAGTCAATATGTCGGATTTTCAGCATGACCATAATTAAGAGATTAATAAATATATATACACCAGATACTGTTACACTGACACCATGCACATGATGCATTAATGATGTATATCCACAGTGCATGCTCTGTCTTGTCCTCTCATGTCATATTTATGTTGATGTTCTGCAGCAGCAGCAGCAGCTAGCAGCAGTTAGCAGCCCGCAGCAGCCCAAACACACGCATCACGTCACATCACAGCCCGGTTCTGCTCAGTGATCCGCTACAGATGAGGACAGATGATGAAAACCGTCCGACGAGCCGCCTGCGTGGACGGAATCATTCAAAGAGCCGAGCTGCGATGTGGACCATCACAGAGCATCCGTGGCTCCAGAGAACCGGCGGCGGCTCCTCTCTGTCTCTCTGTGAGCCGTCACCGCTTCTCTTTCACCGCTTTCGTGGGATTTTCACGCGGATTCCACGCAGCGCATCTTACCGGGCAGTTTGAGGGCTCGGGACAGAGCCGCAGCCATTTCTCCTCCAAACGGATCCGCCAGACACCGACGCGAGGCAGCGGGGATGAGCAGCTCCGAGGACTGTGACCTGCAGATTGGATCTGCCCCGCTGCATCCTGGGAACTGTAGTTTGTATGCGCTAAGACAAAAACAAACAAATAAACAGAAAGCAGCTCCGTGTTGTTGGATGCCACCACCAGGTATCTCAGAATTAACACAGTCGTGTAGAATAAAATCAAAAAAATATAAAAAAAAGAAATGATTTCCATGTGTGTTTTTTGTGTTTGTTTTTATGCGTTGGTAAGTTTTTTACGACCAGAAAAGCTGCAAAATATCCCGATGGTCACTTTAATCCACTTCTGTTTGTGCAAATATAACCTCTGCAAACCACAACATACGTGCAATTACTTTCTCAGGGTATCTATTTTTAACATTTCTTTATTTAAACTCACTTTTTAAAGTACTTATTTTATTTTTTATAATGCAGAATTGTTTTTTTGTTTTTTCTTTTTTTTTTTTTATTGCTGCTGCTTTTACCTTTTTCCCAATTTTATTTTATTTTATCTTATTTTCCCCTACATATATATAAAGCTGACTGGAGCAAAAGCACAAAGAATGCACCAGTTCAGGGCAATAAAACTCTATTAAATTCTATAAAACACATATTTACAGGTCTGATTTACTGCACTCCTTCTATTCATCCATCCATCATCTCTACACCTTCATCCTCACTAGGGTCATGGGGGGCTGGAGTCTATCCCAGCTGACTTAGGGTGAAGGCAGGTTCACCTGGACAGGTAACCAGTCTATCACAGGGCTACACTTAGAGACAGACAACCAAGCACACTCACATTCACACCTACGGACAATTTACAATCACCAATTAACCTCAGCATGTTTGTGGACTGTGGGAGGAAGCCGGAGAACCCGGAGAGAACCCACGCTGCACGGGGAGAACATGGAGACTCCACGCAGAAAGATCCCGGGTGTCCTCACCGGGACGCGAACCGGCGACCTTCTAGCTGTGAGGCAACGGCTAAATAGTAGCTTCATTCCCAAAGGATTAGTTCTTCTAACCTCTAATGTTCACTTTGAAGGAATGTGTCCATAAGGTTATTTTGTGATTCCTTCAGGGAACGTTTCAGGAATGTTTTAGAGATAATACCTCATGTGAATATTCAGACATCAAATTTTAGAATCATTTTAACACATAAACATAATTGTCTTCATGTAGATAATCAAATGGAGACGTTTCTTGGTGATATTTATGAGTTTATGAGTTTAACCATAGACAGAAGTTTCCAGTAACAGTGTATGAGATTTTACAATATAAATTTTTAAAGGCCATTTTCTAAAGGTATTTTTTTTCCTTCTCTGAGACACAGATCTCCACATCAGCAGCTCGTACTCCACCAACCTTTACACTTCTATCCATACTGATATTCTAGATGTTTCTACAGAGAGACGTGTTCTTATTTCAGTCACAGCCGCATTTATAAAACCGGTGAAAATATATTTTAGTCCGGCTGTTATGAAGAGATATCTATGTTCCTTCTATAAAACTATTTGAAAGGAAAGAATTTATCAGAAGTCCACATTTCTGTTCCGGAAGTTTATGCAAACACGTGCATATTGAGACAGACGATGCTCTATTTGCATTTCTAAACATTCAGAGAACTTAAACTGTTTTTTGTTTTTTAAAAGAAAAACAACAATATTTACCTGCAGCGTTTCCCCTTAAGTTTATATTCAGGAAAAAGTTCATCAAACGTTAAAACACATCTAATATAACTTCTACAGGCTGTGATTTTACATTTGTTTTAACTACTGAGGCCGCAAATGGTGTGTTTTTTTTTTTTTTTTTTTTTTATCTAATTACGTGCTTCTGTTGGTTTCAAATGTGTAAACCTGAAACATAATACATACCTGCTGCTCCAGTTACTGACCTGTTTCTGTGTCTTATTCTATTTTTTACAGATTGAGGGTTCGGGGAAGATCCTAGTCCCACGAGGCATCTCGCAAAGTAGGCGAGTCACCTCAGCAGGCAGACCTGTGCCCCTTCAAAAATTCTTCTCGTAATGTGAACGAGGACACGGGCGTCACCCCGCGTCGTTATTTTCCTTACTCATCAGTTTAAGGCATGACCAATCAACCGCCGAAGCCGGGCATAGACGGAATGCCCAGTTACTCTCTATCATGGTGCCGGTGTTTCCACAGCGTCAATTCAATATTATGATTTCTAAGAGCGGCTGTGAATGGATTGAGTAATATCTTATTAGAGTTAAGTGCTTTCTTGTTGTTTTGTTGGTCGCAAACTACATTTTTCGAGGAAAATAGCCGTAGTTGTTGCGACAAAGTGGCGCAAAGGCTCATGGGTATGTAGATATGTGCGTTATTCGCGTTTTGACAAAAGTAATCGATCCCAGATTATTATTTCTTAGTAAAGCGTAGTCATTTTGTTGTCAGATAATAAAAGTGAGTCAAACACTACAATACGAATAATTTTAATTACTAAGCATGCGATTAAAAAAATATCAAAGCGAAAAAATTTCTTCGTCAGTACCCGACAGCCATCATAGGAATGTCCCGAGTCAGGTTCCGTAGTTCTCGCTGAAATCTTCTCAGGCGCGCACGCGCTGTTGGAAAGTGTGAGAGAAAATGGCAGACGTCTCTTTAGATGAAGTTATACGACAGCGCGGTATTAACCTCAAAGCTCCAGCCAAACGGTATGTAAACTGTCACTGCACCGGCAGATATGTCTTTATTTAGGACGTAGCGACGTGTAGGAACGTTTCTGAAAGCACAACGAGATCCGAGAGTTACTGGTAGCTTGTTGGCTATCGTAAGCTAACGTTAGCTCGGTGCAGCTAGCAGCGATTACATCGTAAATGCAGCACTAAGTAGCTGCCATTAACTCTGGGCCTTTCATTGTGAAGCCCTTCTTAGAGAAAATAAGAAAATACAAGTTAATCGTTTATTCACGACCCGTGAAAATGAACTGACGGTTAGTGTTTGCGATGAAGCGCACACTGAAAAAGATGCAGCGCGTTTGCGTAGCGTTTTGTTTGTAGCTTGGCTCGTCTCGACTTAGCTTCCTAGCAAGCTAGTATTCATTGAGGCAACAAAGCAGGTTGTCCCCAGTAATCGAGCAAATGTGGTTAATGGAAGCACTGGGTTATACTGGTGCCTTGGCTAAATGTTTAATTCTTCATATATTGTTCCTCCTGCACTGTGTTTGAAAGTAAAGGAAAATCATATTCCTGTTTGTGAAGCTTCTCAGTGCATTTTTCTCTGACTATTCAGGATATAATAAAGCAATAAAATGATCTTTTTTTACTTTAAGCATCCCTGGCAAAATGTTAAACGCTTGCATAGATTTCTAGGATTTTTTAAAATATATAATGCAACGCAGTCGACATAATCCTAATGTAGGTCTGTGTTGATTCTTAGTCACCCAGGTCATGATAATACTGTGGCTCAAGTAGAAGGTAACTGGACGTCTTTTGTTTGCTTCCTGAAGATGTTTCTCCCCTTATTTAAAAGATTTCCTTTGTTCTATCTGACCAGTGGGGGGTCCCAGGTAATTAGAGCCCATCTGTAGGCTGCCCCTTTCAATGGGAAGTCCAGTTGCCTTCTGCTTAAACACCCAAGAATCTTTTATTGTCTTATTACAGTACTGATGTTGAACTTAAAGAAGCATTCTTCTTTCTCAGGCCCATGTTTGGACGGGGTCCAGGAGGGGATGGCAAAAGTTTTGATGCCCGGCAGAAGATCGGGGCGAATGATGTTAGGCAGCGACTTGGAGGAGGAGGAGGCCCTGGTAAGATATAAGACCACTAATGTGCCTGAAGGCCAACCCACGGCTCCTAAGTGCCTGATGCAGACATCGAAAGCAGACACGCATGCAGTTCTGTGCCTGCGACGATAAGTTTGCATTGGCCTGAGATGCAGGTGGTGACATTGCCCCTCGTGTTGAACACAACTGCTTCTGTGGATGTTATTGAAAGGCTGTGATCTTGCACTTGTGGGGTATCAGACTGCAGCACGTTGTCGGTGTGATTTGTCCGGAGGTGTGTTTGGGCATTGCTGATGGAAACCACGCTCGCTTTTAGCGCCCCAAAGGCTGGTAGTCGACTACGTTGTTTACAACTATTTTCATGATGAATTATAAAGGTGTGGATGACTTAAAACAAATTTTAAAAAATCCTGGCACATGCATAGTCAGTATGCTCACAATGAGGACAGACAGATGGCTACAGGGGGGTCTCTGTGGACCTTCACAGATTTGGTAGATGACAAGACTTTCATTATGTGGACACGCGGATGCAGAAACCGGCCTTTATAGTCTAACAAATCAGTGAGCGTCATGTTTTGGGGAGTAAAATTCTGTTTCCTGTCAAACCCTTCTTTTCTCACTTTAGGTTTTCAAGTGAAAGATGCCAGAGAGAAGTTGGGTCAGAAAGATGCTCGCTTCAAAATCCGTGGCAGGGGAGGAGCAGGAGCAGGAGCGGTGCAGGATGCCCGTCAGATGATCAACTCACGCAAACAGGGCCAGAATCAGTTCAGCGTCCCTCCACAGATCATTCAGAAGACAGCAGCAGCAGCACACCAACTACAGAGCCATACGCACGTACCGCAGATACAGATACAGACCAACAACAATCTTGCTGGTGTGAACGCTCGGCAGTTTGCCCCGAATGTACAAGGACTGAGTTTGAGGGGCACCGTTGCGCCACAGCTGAGTAATAGCAAGAGAATGATGGATGCTCGTGATAGGCTGAGCCTCAAGAGGAGCATTGGAGGTGGAGGGACACAGATACAAACGGCTGCTGCACCACCTCTAAAAATAACCAAGACCATCCAGGTGAGGGTAGAAATATATTCACTTGTTGTACGATCACATGCTTATACTAGCTGAGGTATAAAGGAGTATATTTCAATCATTCCTCCTGTTTACAGCAACGTCCAGTCGGGATGTCTGGTGGGATCCGTGCAGCTACTCAGGTAGTGCATTTTTTCCTGGACTATTTAAACATGACAGAAACACTGTGATATATTGGCTAAGGCTGTAAAACATGTTTGTGCTTCTTTTTTTTCATCTAGCCCATGTTGAATGAGCTTGACGGCGCCCCAAGTAAACAAATAAAGATCACTACTCCTAACAATATGCTACAAGCGAGGGTAAGATTGGCTCAGCTGACCTGAACTCACGCATTACGTCTCAATACAGAAACTCCAACACATTTAGCATGTCTAGATCTCACATCACATCTCCATTTGTGTGTTTCGTCCAGCCTGGTACAGGGGGCTCCCTATTCTCCATGTCAGCCCCCATCACCAAAGTGGTTAAGAATGATGCTTACACAGCCCCACGTCCTCCTGTCCCCGTGGCTCCCACTCGGCCCACCACCAGCATGGCTGCCGCCCGGTCCTCAGCTGCAGCCTTACAGCCAGTCTCCAGGACTCTTCAGCAGAGCACAGCAGAAACCAGCACAACAGCTCCCACCCCCCCTCAGGTAGACAATCTGGGTTTAGTTCAGGATGTGCTTCTTTTATACCTTTACCACCTTTAGCTGAGGCAGGTATGTGTTGGAATACAGTCTATTTAAGGGTTTTGTACGATTAAAGCCACTGCGGTATCGAAGAAAGACCGCCGTACCTGTGAGTCTTAATGGTACTAAAATGTCATTTGTCAGGATAAGCTGCTTGACATGTCAACGCCGTTTGCACACATTGCTTTAACCATTATGTTTGTGTTTTCCTGATGATGTGACGTCGTCGTGTTTCTTTTCCAGCCTGCTTTCAGCCCTTTGGAGGGGACGAAAATAACGGTGAACAACTTGCATCCCCGGGTCACCGAGGAAGACATCGTGGTGAGCAAATCCCGCTGTTCGCTCGTAACCTTTTCCTGTGTTTGATATTCAGTGGTGTGCTGCAGTGCCGCGATGACTCATTCAGTGTGTGTGTTTGTACTCTCCATTTGTCCACAGGAGCTGTTCTGTGTGTGCGGTGCCTTAAAGCGAGCACGGCTGGTGAAGGTGGGCGTAGCTGAAGTGGTGTTTGTCCGTAAAGAGGATGCTGTGAGCGCATACAGAAAGTACAACAACCGCTGTTTGGACGGTGAGTGCCAGTAGCAAGGACGCACACATCAAATGGCTCAAATGGGTTTGGAGCGCTGGGTTCTGTTGGTCATGGAGGTCTGTGATTACTGCAGCGGTGATGATAAGCTTCTAGTTAGAGGCTGTGATGTGTTGTTTTTATGGAAATGAAGAATCAGAATCATGTGACCGCCACTAACCAGACTGATGAAGTTTTCTGTGTGTCTGTCTTTTCCTGATCTCTTCTTCTTGTCCACCCCCAGGCCAACCGATGAAGTGTAACCTTCATATTCAGGGAAATGTCATCACTTCTGATCAGCCCATTCTATTGTAAGTGAGCCCACGAGGCTTCTGACCGAGTTTACATGCGTGCTTTATTTAGCATGTTTCCAGTGAGCTGCCATTTACCTTTAAGCTGATTGAACACAGCTTATGTCCACCATTTATTTCTCAGCGTTATTAGCATTTGAATTAGCATTTAGCACCGTGGATGCCAGTGGCTGCTGCTGTGTTCTGGGTCTTGCATTATTCACTCACAGGGTTGTTTAGTGTTTGTATTTGAATAATTCTGATGACTTGAGGGGCAGATGGTTAGAGTTACTACAACACTGAAATTCTGGATAGTAATAATAATAATAACCTGATGATAGAAGCTGTTCTCTCTACATATGTTTAGTAACATTTTTTAAGTGTTTTTAAAATGTCATATTAATAAAAGTACTTCCTCCACGACTGCTCACGTCTGTCAAGATGGAGACGAGTGTGTTTGTTGGTTGGAGTGAGTCTGTCCTGGTGTGTGAGAGAAGCAGCAGCACATTCCTGCTCAAGGTCCCTAAAGTTACAGACAACTCCATTTTTGTAGATTTTTAGAAAACATATTTTTTTGTTGTTTGCTTGAGATAATATCAACCAAACTGAAGCTGAGTGGATTTGACTCAGTAGGAAAAAGTAGAGACAACTGATTGATATTGTCTCAGGTAGACGATGGAAAAATGAGTTTTCTGAAGGTTTGTGAAGATGGAGTTATCCGTTTTTGCAAATGAACTCTTCATTTCTTAAATATATCAGAGTTTGCTGACGCTACTTTACTGTAACAACGGTGGCGTCCAGCCTCATCTTTGTCGAGTCGCTTGTAGCAAAGCTTTTGTGAAATTACGCAGAACATTGAGAACTGTAAATCAAACTGTAGGTCAACTGAGAATCACGTCAGACTCGTGATTCCTTAAAACCAAATCAATAGGAGATAATTAAACATGT